CGAGCAATCCTATGCTGTAGGGGAAGCCACCCAGATAGCGGTGAATGACGATGACAACATATACATATACAGTCTAGATGGATACCACGGGTTCGAAATGACATCATCAAAACACATAGGAGGTAAATTGTCACTTAGTGTGTAGCTGGGGTTGAGATAGCGAATACTATAATCGTTGCATCGGAGATGTGGTGGTATTTCTACAAGAGTCTCCTTTATAGGCAAGGCTGGAACTCTATAAAGATGCCCTTCTCCTTGAACTCATGTCGTGCCCTCTCTAGCAATGTCAGTATAATCTTCTCTGTTACTCCAAGGCGTACCACAGCCCACCTAAGCAGGGGATGAGGCAAGTTGGTTGCCGTGAACAACAACTTACCTGCAACGACCTATGCAGTTGAAGGCCTTCAAGTATCCTCTCTGCATGGGGCCTGACCATCTTATGCCTTCTACTTCAATGGCGTGTCCAAGCCCTGAAAGGGGTTTCATGCAGTTATCAAAACTAAGAGACAACTACTCACCACCATTGGACGAAGCCTCCGGGCCGAGAACCGACTCAGGTCTATACACAAATCGCAGCCACCATGCGAGCTCGGCTAGCGACGCGCCCGGATTCTCATTAAGCGATGCTGAACAGGATTGAATGGAAGCGGTCTGACTCACACCCCTAGCGAAATTAGCATGTTATGGATATTGCGAGTGACACAAGTCTTCTCTCACATACCAGCAAACATGAGAATAGAGAACGATATATATGTGATCGTGCAAATGCATGAACCGTCTTTGATAATGCAACCCACACAGAGGTAGTCCTCTCTCGACCACTGCTGAGGAGAGGAATGGTCACGCGCCTTACATAGAGCGCAGTCCCTGGAGTCGACTATACACGCAAGTAGCTTCACTTCATTAACGCGATGAAGGCATCTATCCAACTGCGGCTTCTCGAACGGTGATGGACTCGGCGCAGCGGTACGCCAACCACAACTTTTCCCCAAAGCTCGCGAGTATCTTAACGCAAACTTCCATCTTCGATAAGGCGGCCTAGAACCCACCTGTCCGGTGAATTGAGCCACGAGGAGCTCACTTCCACCCGTTGCCATTCCACTGAGCATCCAGGAGAGCCACGGCATGCAACATAAATGCGTTCAACCTGAATCGAACCTTGGCCTTGAGGTGGCCGAACAATACCCTTACCTCATCAGTCGAATATCTCTCTTTGATGCTCGTGGCACCAGCGCCATACCCAAACGTGTACTCAGAGCTAGCAGTATCAGCCGCCAACAGCAGACGTGAACCGACCTTCTCACCGAGACCCTGAGAGGCCCATTCGATGTCTCTCACCCAGCCAGCCCTACAGCAAAAAGCAGGCCCTCCCCCCATATGATCCAGAAATGTCTTTCTCCATGGAACCGTACCTGGGATGACATACGGAGGACCATAGCTCGCCTCGAATACCACATCGGACTTACCCGAGATTCGCTAATGACTGCGGCTTCAAGTTCGAGAGACTGGGGATTCACGGTATTGGAAGATACCTCTCTCGGACGCGTATGTTTGATCTCGCTATGAGAGGAGCAGAAGCTTA